TACCAGCTGGATCTGAAACTCATGTGTTCCTTATTCACTTCAGAGCATTTTGGATTTACTTTTTTGGTATTCAGACAAACAGCAAATTAGAAGCTCCTTCTATTTCTGGCTGTGCAATGTATTCTCTGATTGTGGAACCAACCTTCAAGTAAAACAGTTTCCTTATTACACAGCTTTAGCAGTGTCTTTAAGAACCAGCTATGAGTAAATCAGAAGAGTTAGAGAATATACAAGGCTGATCAGACTAAGAGCAGCACCATACATTTACCATGACTTTCAGCACCAGTATCACAGTTTTATTCCCAACAGTGAAAATTACAGTGCTCATAAGTAATGTTTGTCATCTCCATGAATTCCAAGAAAGACCTTAGTTGCTGTTAGAGGATACAATGTTGTTGTCCTCCAAAAGTTAACAAATTATCTCCTTATATGACTACATGTGGAAATATGTGAATATCTGCGTCTGCAGAACAGGCAATCTTGTTGCATGCAATACTCCTGACCCTTGGTATACCAGAATTTCACATCAGACTAGCAAAGTACAGCAAAGCAGTTGTAAAACAAATTTCTTCCTTACTAGACATCTTATTTTCCAGCACCAAAACAAAAAGTTGCTTAAAATTACTTACTTAGTAATGAATTCAGGTTTAATTTAAAGAAAATGATCAAGAAATTTGCAGAAAAAAAAAAATCTGTCCCATTCTGATGGGTTACCTTTACCATATTACAGGCTCCTACCAACACTTTCATGTATGCCAATACTAGCAGTGCTTTAAAAGAGCTAGTTTTATTTTTAATAATACTTACAGTCACTGACTCATGAAAAAATACCAGGGAAGCATTCACATGCAATATTACTATAAGGGAGTTAAAAAAACTGAAACAAACTAAAAAAACAACCAACGAAAAAAGAACAGCACTGAAACAGTTACACTAAATAAAGTTTTTTGCTATTTGTAGCTGTTTTACAAATGAAGTTTGATATTTGACTGGAAATCTGTCTAGCTTGGATTTAGAAAGTAATCAAATTTTTTTAAAAAATTAAAGCATATGACATTTCTAGCACTTTTAGGTATTTCATATTAATTCAAGTAAGGCGGAAACTGTAGGAAGTTTAAGAGAATGCATCTCATAGCTCCATTTGCAAGCGAGCAGTACACATAGTTATCAAATGGCAAAGTATTCAATCTGTTCATTTTTAGAATGATTCACATTGGTGCCTTTATCTAAATGAACTATTATATGAGTAGGATGTCTTAGGAACTACTCAATATGATAGGATATTCTTTAATCATGATTTGTTAGACTTACAAATGATTATGGAACATACAATGTGTTTCAGCTTTGGATCATTACCCATGGAAATATAATTCAGAAGTACAAACAATAATTATTTCTGTCACTCCTTTTACTGAAACATAGCTTTCTTTAATTAGAATATTGATAAGTGAGCACAGAAAATGTAAGATTTTTTAATAGTTAATCTGATAAAGAATTAATTGAGCTTTTAACTGAGAAAGCTTAATCCTCCAAACAGCGTGCATACAGATTATGCCACCTCCTTAGGAACACCCACTAATATAATGGACTAACAGATTATTAAATTGGTAGCAGCCAGTCTCTGGGGCCCTCAGGCCTTTCCACACCTCTCAACAGCACTAGTGAAGGAAGACCCACATAGCATGGAAAACCTCATCTTGCTGCATCCCATTCTTTCCATAGGCAGTGGCTGGCTATTGCTTCAGTGTCTTGGATTTAGGAGACAAATCATGAAGTTTCCCCAAATCTAATAAAGGCAGCATGTGCTGAGTTGCACTCTCTAAGCCACCAGAACAACTGTTTAGGAACATCATTCTGTCTCAGACAGCAGATGCCTACCAAAGAGTATGAGAACCAGTGGCAAGCATGGGCGGTGCCTTTCCTGGCCTGCAAGAGCTCAGCACCCTCCTTAATCATGCACCTCTTTTTTGTGTTTAAGAGCCCATTTTAATTTCATTAATGAGTCTGTATTTTTAGAATGGGCATTAGCATCCATTATCGACAACATTCCATCATCATGGCTGGGCTTCGCTAACGAAGATTTGGGTAAGTTCCACTTAATTATCCACTCTGTGAAACACTTTTTTTTGCTTCAGATGTCTCCTCATTTCATTTGTACAAGAGTTTTACTGGAACATGGGTGTTGCTATCAATCTAGTCCAAGAGGTGGTGGTAAAGCTGCCTCTCTAAGGATGAAGGAATGGTTGAGAAGAAATGACTAGGTGTTAATTAGGAGAAACTATAAGCACTGATTGAAAGCAAGACTGCACATTAACAGACACAAGATACAAACCATCAACATACATGGGAAATCACCAGCACCAACGACAAATGGTTCAGGCATTTCTTGGCAGACAACTGTTGCTTGACGTAAAGGCTCACATGCATTCATCTACCAGCTTGTCATCTGCCAAGAAATATTCTCTGCTTCTGTCAGAACTGCTTAATTAAAGTGTAGAAATAGGTTATACTGGAAAAGTTCACTCCTGTTTGCCAAATAGATCTGCAGTGAAAGATACAACTATTTAATCCAAGAAGAGCTTTCAACTGGAGATATACTTAGATATGTTTATTTCTGTGCTGAGTTACTATAGGAGGATGAGTGATTTTCTTCAAGAGTCAGAGATGAAACATAAGTAAAACAATATTTAGAAAGAATCAAAAAGCCATCTCCCAAGCACCTCTCAGTTTTTTTCATTACTGTTAAGTGTTTAAGTGCAATTTTTCCCCCCAAAATTACAAGCCAGTTAAAATACTAAAAGGTGTTTATTTTAAGACATTAATGTCCTTTCAATACCAGCTACAGTCAGGATAGGACCATGGAAAACAAACAGGTAAGTCTTCTTCACACATAAAAATGTCAGAGGAACATTGTTTCCTTTTAACTGCTTTATCAGGTACATGACCCAATTGTACCTGCTAAGGCAGATTGAACGTAATGAGAAATTTTAACAAAATCCAACATGTACACCATCGAATTTAAGTTAATTTAAAGTGACAGGTTCAAAACAGAACTCTATCAAGTATTTGGGAAATTTACATATGAAAAAATTGTCTTTTTTAGGGTTTTGTGGAGTTTCCAGCAGTAATTACTTTGGATTTAAAGAAATCCAATGATAAATTCAACTTACAGTTAAAGAGTATTAACTTGTGTAATCCTACAATAAAATACTACTATAATACGGAGACGGAAATATGAATTTAAACTAGTAAGATTAAAGACTTTTCAAGTGCCAAGCTGTAGTGGGTTTCTGTGGCTGGGTTTTGGTAGCGGGGGGGCTACAGGGGTGGCTTCTGTTAGAAGCTGCTAGAAGCTTCTCCTGTACCGTGGAGCCAATGCCAGCCAGCTCCAGGATGAACTTCCTGCTGCTGGCCAAGGCTGAGCCAATCAGGGGTGATAGTAATGCCTCTGTGATAACATATTTAAGAACAGAAGGTTGTTGTGCAGAAAGAATTCCATCCAGGGAAGAGTGGAGTGAGAACATGGGAACAACAATGCAGACACTAAGGTCAGTGCAGAAGGAGGGGAAGGAGGATCTCCAGGCGCTGGAGCTGAGGCCCTGCAGCCCATGGTGCAGACCATGGTGGAGCAGCTGTGCCCCTGCAGCCCATGGAGGACCATCAGGGTGCAGAGACCCACCTGCAGCCCATGGAGAAGCCCATGCTGGAGCAGGTGCATGCATGAAGGAGGCTGTGACCCCGTGGGAGGCCCAAGATGGAGCAGGGTCCTGCTAGGGACCTGCAGCCCATGGAGAGGGAAGCCCATGCTGGAGCAGGTTTTTCCCGGGTAGGACTTGTGGCCCCTGTGGGGGACCTACACCAGTACAGCTCATTCGTGAAGGACTGCATCCCATGGAGGACTGACCCATGGGACAGCAGTTTGGGAAGAACTGCTGCCCGAGGGATGGACTCATGCTAGAGAGGTCCATCAAGGTCTGTCTCTCGTGAGAGAGACCCCATGGGAGCAGGGCAGAAACAACAACTGACCACAACCCACGTTCCCCATCCCCCTGCACCACTGGGGGGGAGGAGGGAGAACATGGAAGAAGGGGTGAGGGGAAGGTGTTTTTAAGACTGTTTTATTTCTCACTCTTTGGCTCTTATCCTGTTAGTAATAAATTTAAGTACTATCCCCACTTTGAGTCTGTTTTGTCTGTGAAGGTAATCAGTAACTGACCTCTCCTAGTTCTCATCTCAACTCATGAATTCTTAGCTGGTTTTTTTTTTTTCTCTTTCTCCTCTGTCCAGTTGCAGAGGGAGAGTGAGAGAGTGACTGTAGTGGCTACCTGGTATCTGGCCAGGGTCAACCCACTATACAAGCTAAAAATTTAAAATATCATAGTACCTGTGACTTAATATGGTACCTTTGACCCGTGAGTCTTTTGGCCTTCTCCAAAAATACTACAGAATTGCATTTAGACAAAGCTCTTAGCTAAAATTGCATCTTCATTCTCTCCAGAACCCACAAAAGGCAATAGAGATCAATAAGTCATTAACGCTTTAAAGACATTCACATGTATAGGCTTACCAGTTTTCATGTTTTGGATGGTTTCATATCTTTTCCACCTGAGCTGAAGCTTCATTTTCAGGAAGGCCAACACAAGTAGAGTTTATAGGAATTCAAGAATATGCTTGAAACCCATTTGTGAAGCAGGATGCTGATGTACCAAATCTACCACTATCATAGCATAGGAACTCCATAATTACACACTATAGCACAAAGCCCAATAAGAATGTACTGGTATGGTTCCAACACAGGAAAAGAACTTGAGTATCATTTAACACTCAAATGAAATAATAGCTTTAGAACTTACAGAAAGCAACAGTAATAGAAGAAAACCCAATGGACTGGTTTTCAAAGTTTTAAATACATTTGATTTGGATACATAAAATTATTAAATTAAAAGTTTACAGCTTATCCAGATGATTATACATCAGATAACCCATGTGAAATATCTTACCTCTTCTCCTGAAAGATAGTAAGCTGAAAGTAGTCCACCAACGAAACGAATGTTCACTTCAAATACAGAAATTTCAGCATTCTGTTGAAATAAACAAACATTTATTTCTATACAGGTTTGATTTGTTTTTTTTTTCTTTTTAAATATACATACATGCAGATATTAAGCCACAACAGGTGTGCATAGCAAAACACAGAAGATAAAGGGAAGGTTAGATACTAGAAAAAAGTTCTTCACCCAGAGGGTGGTTGGGTGCTGGAACAGGCTCCCCGGGGAGCATCAAGTCTGACACAGTTCAAGAAATGTTTGGATGATACTCTCAGGCACGTGGTGTGACTCCTGGAGATGGGCTTGTGCAGGGCTAAGAGTTGGACTTGATGATCCTTGTGGGTCCCTTCCAACTCAGTATATTCTTGATTCTGTGAAGCATTTTATAGCATTTTTTTCTCTTCCTCATGTTAACAAAATAGCCTCTCCATTTTCCCCATACGTTTTAACTTTCCATCTCTTCCATTTGGACAAAAGGCTTTCTCTAAATCTACATATCTAAATACTTCCTTGTAGATGATTCATCACTTGCCCAAAAAGTGCCCTCGGATCATGTGTCCCACACTACCTCACCTCACACCATCTTTTCTCAGACACTGTATGAGAAGCTCTTGATCAGAATGTCATATCAAGGGTTTTCCTACTTCATTCTAAATGCAGGTTATTGTAAAAAAGGAGGTAACATTAGAATGAGTTAATTACATGATCATGATAAAAACGTAATCATTACGTGTATTCACAAGGAAGCAGATGATCTTTCACTATTACAGTTACGGCCCTTCCCAAGCTGGCCTGGTCTTTACCAATGATAGAGACTAGGTCTGTGGTAATGAGCAGTATATAGCCATTATCTATCTCAAAACTCAAAGCACATTCTTCCTTGTCTTTTAATATTCAAACATAAATGAAAAATTTGAGTCTCATGATCACTACATGCTCTTGTTTTTCACCAAGACTCTCCAGTTTTACCCTAACACGTGACATTCAATCCACTCGAGGGATTCAGTTGAAAAGCTGATCTAGCGAAGTTGCTTAATTTTAGCTTTTTTCTGTAATATGACTTTTAACATTTTTGTATTTCTGTAGAAAAATGGTACCCAGCAGTCAATCTTCTAAAATTTTTTGGCATGTAAATAAGGTGTTTGACTTTCATTTGCTTTGAGTTGCTGTTGCTTCTATTGAGTTACTTTTCCATTTTCTATTTGCTGACATACACTATAGCTATATTTAATATAAATCAATGCATGGTAGAGCTGCTTGATTTTCCTCTGAAGGGCTTACAGGCTTTTTTCATCCAGCTAGATCTTGTGCTTTACAAGTTTAAACATTCAGATGTCACTCTAAGTAGGAGGGAAGACTGTTGCCCCCAGTTTTCTACAGATTTTCAATTGTAGTAAAATGCCTTTGCGGAAAAAAAGGAAAAAAAATCCCAGCACTAGGCTACTTACTAGAAATATTACTTCATGCTTTTCAGTTTGCAATGTGCTCTGATTAAGAAAAGTATCTAGACACATTGCAGAGTTGTTCAGTGTTTTATAACTTGTAAAGGTACAGACTTCAAAACACACTCACAGAATTGCTACAATACTAGCCAGTTTACAGTCAGGCACTAACCTTTTTTTCCTCTAAAATCTGTTCTGCACTTCTCCCTCTAAAAACTGAGGATATCATTTAATTCACAGATTACTCTGATTGATATATAATTCATATAGTATATATGTGTGTGTCTGTACAGTTTTTTAATACACATGAGGTGCAATTCAAAGGGGCAGACAAAGTAAAGCCATCCTGTACATCTACCTATTGAAAACTCAGACTGGCATCATGTGTTAAAATTGCAAAACAGAAAAAGCTATCTTGCTGTCTTGCAGTGTTAAGAACATAACATTTTTTCAAGTTTATTTTAAGTGTACTGAAACTCTGTAGTTTCTCCTCTGCCACTGCTCTTCCAATACAGATCTACTCTTATTCTTTCTGGGGAAAAAAGTACAAAGGAAAAAAGGAGCTTAATTTCTGTTTCCAACATTTCTGTTTTTTCAAAATCTGTTATTTCTGCTTCCAAGCGCTCAGTCATTGTCTCACTGAATTCAGCAAGAAGACAAATGAAATAACTGGAAACAGGTATTTGCTTCAACTTTAACATTTCTGTGCATGCCTTTTTATTATACCGTAATACATGTTAAACCTGGGAAGATGGATATAAAAACATTTAAATCCTCTAGAAATCTGAACTAACTAGACAATACACCTGTACACCGCCTAAGCAGGCTACCTGTATAAGAACTCTACATTATATATACATTAAATATAGAAGTCTGCCTTAACTAAATCCAACACCTGAGACAACTAGTAAAGAATTGGTCTGACCTAAGAAAGGCTGATCTGACCTGATCTAATTGAAGAAAGGGTGATTCAATGAGTGACAGGGACCATTTCTCTTCCCTGGAGTTTGAGCTAGCTGAAACTCCTATGAAGAATATTTTATATGAGAACCTTCTTCAGAACTTCAGGTTCTTTACATTTCAATCCTAAATCTCAGCATATGTCAAGAACTTTTCTTTGATGGGAAAGTTGAAGCTGTAAAGAGGTAGGTATTAGATGAGGAAATGAGTTAATCAGATATCCCAGACACCTGTGTTTCCTTTGAGGACTGAATTAAATTACTTTTTGATTTTCAATTGCCTGAAGTAAATTGAGTGATGTATGACCTGAATATTTTGTCTCCAGAACCTTACATTTTGCCCTTCTGGATTTAATATGACCATTTAATTCACAAAGCCAGGGTTATCTTTCAAGGAAGGCAAAGGCCCTTTAAAAAAAGCTCAGTATGTATGCACTGATCTTTTTCTAGAAATCAGTTACAGACAAAAAGATGACTTGGAAGTTATGTGAATAAAGGTTTTACTGTTGAGCCACAAAGATTAGTTGCATTGTAATCTTGAACGTTTGTTGAAGGAGTGATCTTTCAGGACATTTCTTGAAAGTAACCATTGTTTTAATGTTATCAAATTTCCAATATGTCACCTCTGACCCTTTGTTCAAAATCCTTGTTTCTCACTAAAATTTTTATACAAGTCACCGAAGCAAATGCAATTAATGAAATGGACAAACATTTTATTAATGGTAAATTTGAAAGCTGTATGCTTAATACCTATGTATTATAGTTATTCTTAAACTCATTATACCAGGTTAGTATATTCTTAGCACAGAATTCGCAGCAATTTTCAGAACAAAGTTTTATAATTTCATATCAAAGATACATTCATGAAAAGCTCATGTGAAGAAGCAGTCTGTTAAGAAAAGTGTACTTCTCCTAAAAGTAACAAATTTCTGCTACACCAACTTTATCCTTCTTTCTGGTTTGACTTTTAAAATTTTTTGTATGACACATTGAAGATGCAACACCCTGATCATTACCCTCTTTTCGTATTTTTAATCATCCACATACAGTTTGAACAAAGTCCATATATTTCTACTCAGCAGTCAAATCCTAAGTAAGCAATACTATTTTTTATTTTGCTCTCAGATCCAGCTGTACATAAATACCTTATGATCCATTTAACAGTGCCAAAATATAACAGAAAAAACTTTGATCTGAATTTCCCAAAATTTCTACTTCATCACCTGGAGAGGTAAGCATGATTTTATTTTTTCTTTCAAATTTAGCCTTCTCTTTCAAACCATCATTGTATCATTACATAGCAGGTCTGAGAAGTGGTTGAAATGTTTCCATTATATCTAATGGAAATTCTGTAAGGAGAGGTGATTGGGGCATGCTTATTTTAACATGACTATAATGTTCCTTTTTTATGATCCTAAGTTTATAAGATGGTGTTGACCAACTGGATAGATACCATTTCTAGTTTTATGGTCCTTTCATTAGTACCCCAATTAGACTGCATGGCCATGTGCTGTGTATGAGAATATCTGAAATACCTTTGTGAGTGCACAACTGTGCTAACATCTTATTGTTCCTATGAAATATCAGCTTGCTCTGCTACATTTTGTCCTGAAAAGGGGAAATGCTAAAATAGGGGTGGGGGAGAGGGGTGGTGTTTAAGCAAAGGAACTGTAGTTCCAGAAACACTCAGGAAGCTGCAGAATGTTACAGATTTAACTAGTAAACCTATTAAACTAATTTCTTTTAAAGAAAGGAAGGGTGAAAGTACCTTAGGAAATCCCATCTTCAAAAAGCAACAAATATAACCAACTGGGGTGGGGTGTAGGGGAGAAATAAAGTACCAAGAACATTGGCTAACTTGTGCTACTCTTGCATTTCTATTTTATTTGCAAACCTATGACATGGCCAATCTGATCTTAGCTGCATCTCACCACTTGATTTCTCCTACCCTTCTGTAAACTGGAGGATTAAGTCTACAACTGATAAACTACTGAAGCTTCAATCAGCTGTGACTGAATTTAATATCAAAAGCACTGTTCAGACAACGACTGTCAGCTGGGCTCTCCTGAAGCCTTTTGCCTATTGGACTCCTTCAGCTTCCCAAAAATCTCTTTCCTTAAAGTCTTCCTCTCCATAATGCATAGACCAAGATAAAAACAATTTCTGTCTGTGTTTTCTTATGGGAAGTCACCCTCATTTATGAACACAACATTTGAAATACCACTTGATTTTTTTTATCCATTGTGAGCTTCCACTTGACACTCACCAGTACTGGTTACTTGTTCTGCCATTCATAATTCAATTGGAGAAAATACTGTCTGCTCTTTACACAGATGAATATATTCCCAATAATCAGGCCACCTTAATTTATATTTGATAAAGAGCTTACTCTCTTAGTTTTTACAAAGATAATAAAAAAATAACATCACAAATCTTACCAAATAATTTGTTTCAGTCTTATTTATTGCACAGATTCTTTCCAAAACTTTCTTTCCTTCAGTTCTCCTGTTCTTGTACTACCAAGAGTGCATAGAACTTCAGTCACCTCATCTGCATTTCCACCTATTGCTCCTGCACACAAGGAATACAGTGACTCCCCCCAAGCACACACACCATACTGTACCATGGCAAG